CGATGAGAGAGAGACATCGATCAGCTGCCTCCTGCACACTCCCTACTGGGGATGTGCCCACAACCAAGGTACATGCCCTTGACCGGAATCGAACCTGGGACCCTTCGGTCCGCAGGCCGACGCTCTATCCACTGAGCCAGACCGGTCAGGGCTCTTCTTTCTAATTGATGTTCTTTTCTCGTTTGATTTTAAAAATCCATTTTATTGAGGTATAATGTATAGGATAGTGAAATTCACTCATTTTAAGTGTATGGTTTGACGAGTGTTGACAAATACATGTGGTTATGTAACCATCACCCAAAACTTCCCAGGCCCCCACAGTAAAAGTCTGTCCCCCACGCCTCACCCCTGACCCCAGTCAACTACCAACCTCTTTTTATCACTATAGTTTTTCCCTGGGAAATTCATATAAATAAAATGGATTTACACAGGATGTAGTCTTTTGACCTTAGATTCCACTTTGACTTCTACTTTCTTCTTGAATTTTGTGCAAACCAATGAGAGGGTCTGAGAGCTGGTCTCTGGATGGGCCCATTCTGTGCAGTCTGAGGCAGGGCTGTGTGGGCAGGACAGGTTCGCTGGAGCTTCTCTGCCTGCCCGGCGCTGGGAGAACCTAGGGCTTGTCCTTAAGGGGACCCGCTTCTTATGCTTTAGTTATAGTCCTGTAGCAATCCACTTTGTTCTCTACTACCAAATTTATTCTTTTTTTTTTTTAATCCTCACCCAGGGATATTTTTTCCATTGATTTTTATTTATTTACTAGAGGCCCGGTGCATGAAATTTGTGCAAGGGGCACAACCCTCGGCAGCCACAGCGGCTTGCCTTGGCCCTTGCAGCCCTGGCTTCATCCAGAAGGTCGTCTGACAGGATGTCTGGAAGGTCATTTGGCTGTCTGGTCTAATTAGCATATTACGCTTTTATTATTATAGATTTATTTCTTTATTATTATGAATATATTTTTATTGGTTTCATAGAGGAAGTGAGATGGAAAGAGAGAGAGAAATATCAGTGATGAGAGAGAATCATTGATTGGGGGATCGAGCCCACAACCCGGGCATGTGCTTTTTATTGATTTCAGAAAGGAAGGGAGAAGGAGATAGATAGAAATATCAATGATGAGAGGGAATCATTGATTGATTCCCTCCCAGGCATGTGCCCTTGACCAGGAATGGAGCCTGGGACCCTTCAGTCCATAGGCTGATGCTCTGTCCACTGAGCCAAACCAGCTAGGGTTCCATTGATTTTTAGAGAGTGGAAGAGCGAGAGAAAGACAGAGTAAAACATCAATGTGAGAGAAACACATCGATTGGTTGCCTTCTGTATGCACCCCAACCAGGACCTGGGCCGGGGAGGAGCCTGCAACTGAGGTACGTGGCCTTGGTCAAATTCGAACCCAGGACCCTTCAGTTTGCAGGCTGACGCTCTGTCCACTGAGCCAAAACGGCTAGGGCTTTACTACGGATTTAAGGCACCTCCTTTCCTTGCTCTTGGTTCTGTTACAGTGGGGGAGGAGTTCAGTGTCTTGCCGTGGTCTCCTTTGAGAGCTGAGCTAATCTGATCACACTTTTAACTCGTTTTCAGACAGAAAACCATGGCCTTTGAGGCTTCTTCCACGTGAAGAGTTCACTTTTTGAATAGTAAGAATTATATGCCATGGGGGGTGGTGGTGGGTGGGATTCAGGACGTTAGAGATGCTTAGGGGGGGCGTGGGCAAAAAAAGCGTGTGAACCACTGGTCTAGACTGATCATTTTGGCTTGTTTCACTCTCACCCTGTGTTATACATGTAAAAACCCTGAAGAGCAATTTTATTCTTTTTATTTTTAAAGTAATGCACAGTAATAGCTTTGTTTTTCTTTTAGAGACTAGTACAAGTTATCTAGAGGTAAACAATAAACAAAAAACCAGACCCCTGTCACCTAGAAATAACCACTATTGATTTTTTTAAAAAACATATTTTATTGATTTTTTTACAGAGAGAAAGGGAGAGGGGTAGAGAGTTAGAAACATCGATGAGAGAGAAACATCGATCAGCTTCCTCCTGCACATCCCCTACTGGGGATGTGCCCGCAACCCAGGTACATGCCCTTGACCGGAATCGAACCTGGGACCTTACAGTCTCCAGGCCGACGCTCTATCCACTGAGCCAAACCAGTTAGGGCTACTATTGATTTTTTATGCACATCCCTTTCAAAACACATATTTAAACACAAATGAGATTGTACTATTCATATTGATATTTGCATATGTGTTGCACACTTTTGAGAAATTTAATTTGTTTTTGGAGAAAATTAATTTCTTGAAAGTGTTATTTTCATGTTGTCTCTCTTCCGCCCAAGAGCCTGCATTGGTTCCTTATGACTTGCCAGACCCAGTGCAGAGCCCTAGCATACAACTCCATGGAGACCCATTCACCCAGTCGTCTCCTGTGTTTATTCTGTTCATTTCATGGCTCATTAAGAGTCGGGCTCTGGAGTTGGACAGACCTGGGGTTTGGCCTCTTGTCCTCCTCAGCAGCTGTGTGGCATCGGGCACCTGAAGCACAGAATCATGCAGATGATGAGATAATGTATGTAAACTGCCTGGTACTTAGTAAGTCCCCAATAAATATTAGTATTATTAATGCTTTTTAAAAAAAATCATGTGCTCTCCCTACTTAAGGCCTTCATATCTTACCTCTTTTCTAATCTGAATTGCACCCGGCATTCAAGATCCAGTTTAATTCTGACCATAGTACCAACTCATAATATACATGCCTTTCAAATTTCCCATAGCACAGATAGACTAAACCACACAATTTTTCTTTTAATATTTTTTTTATTGATTTCAGAGAGGAAGGAAGAGGGAGAGAGATAGAAACTTCAATGATGAGAATCATTGATTGGCTGCCTCCTGCACGCCCCCTACTAGGGATCCTGCCTGCCACCTGGGCATGTGCCCTGACCAGGAATCTTCCTGTTTCATAGGTCGACACTCAACCACTGAGCCACTCAGGCCGGGCCAGTTTTCAAATTTCATAATTAAATATTTTGGGTAACAATTGGTTAATAACGTTTTATAAGTTTCAGGTGTACAACTTGATCATAGGGCATCTGCACACTCCATTGTGTGCTCGCTACCTGAAGTCTGATCTTCTGTCATCATATCCTTGACCCTCCTCTGCCCTCTTCGTTCTCCCTTAATAATACTTTCGGAACAAAATTGTCCAAACATGTGGTCCATTTCTGCGGGAGACCTTCTCCCGTTTACTACTTCGCTCCAGACAACCACTTGGCGTTTCAGAGGGAACTTAGGCCTGTACTCGTGTCGATGGGTGCCTCTGACTTTGCCCCCGCAGTGGTGCCAGGCTGCCTGCATCTGGAAGCTTTTAAGTAGGCCCGGGGCCTGCGTGCTCCAGGAATCTGTTACCTCTGATGAGCAGCCTGGCAGCAGCCCCTGGGAGCTCGATGGCTTCAAGGCTCTTTCCAGTCCCCAGATCTTAGGCGGCTGTGCCGGCCCAGAACAAAGGCGGCCTGATTCTGCTCCCTCATCTGAGTGGAGAGCTTGGTTTGGGGGAAGGAAAACTATCCTGGGCTGTTAATGTTAACACAGTGTTTTCTCAAGCGCTTGCCTTCTCCCTCCGCAGCGTTTTCGGCGTTAGCGAACGTGAACCTGGCTTTGGATCAGGGGAGCGCCCTGGCCCTGTTCCGGATCCTGCAGTCCCCAGCGCTGGGCCTCCGGGGGCTGCAGCAGCAGAACAGCGACTGGTACCTGAAGCAGCTGCTGAGTGACAGGCAGCAGAAGCGACAGGTGAGCAGACTCGGGTGCAACCTGCGGGGTGGGTGCACCTCCGCCTGAACCCGTGCTGTCGTGTTAAAGACACTTCTGAGCCATCTTTTTCTAGTGTAACCTTTTCCCCTGCATAGAACTTAGGTTTTTATTTATTTACTTACTTATTTTAACTAAGAACTTAATTTAATAGAGACTTTATTTTTCAGCTTTAAATTTTTTTAATGGGATACTAACATAGATATGAGGTTGATTGATATAATGTAATAATTTTAAAGATCAACTTTGCCTTAGTTTTCACAGTTCACAGTTTTGTCTCAGATGTTTATTTATGTTTTGTTGTTGTTTTTTAATCCTCACCGAGGATGTTTCTCTATTGATTTTTAGGGAGAGTGGAAGAGAGAGGGAAAGACAGAGAGAAATATCAATGTGAGAGAGACACATCGATTGGTTGCCTCCTGCATGAGCCCCGACGAGAGCCTGGTTCAGGGAGGAACCTGCAACCAAGGCACATGCCCTTGACTGGAATCCAACCCGGGACCCTTTGGTCCATAGGCCCACGCTCTATCTACTGAGCCAAACCGGCCAGGGTTAAATTAGATTTTAAAATATCCTCAGGTAGCCCTAGCTGGTTTGGCTCAGTGGATAGAGCGTCAGCCTGCGGACTGAAGGGTCCTGGGTTCTATTCCAGCCAAGGGCACATGCCCACATGCCCAGGTTGCGGGCTTGATCCCCAGTAAGGGGCATGCAGGAGGCAGCCAATCAGTGACTATCTTTCATCATTGATGTTTCTGTCTCTCCCTCTCCCTTCGTCTCTGAAGTCAATAAAGATATATTTAAAAAGAAAGAGCTGTCTTTTAAAATAAATCAATAAATAAAATGTCCTCAGGTAAAATACGCATTGTCTTCAGCTGTGTTTGGTTTTAGAGTTGTAAATCCCCTGAAAATAGGCGATACCCACCTTCCCCATCTAACCACCCCTTCACCCGCAGCCTTCCCCTTCTTCCCCCACCAAAACCATCGGGGAACCTGAGTATTTTACACTCTCACTTTAGGAATTTCTGCTTTAAAAAACTGCACCTCACTATTTCCTCTGGCCAACACTGGGGAGTTGCTCACTGTACAGCAGATTGTGTGACTGTTTTATATTTTGGGGGGCGGGGGGTAGGTTTCAGAACAGTTATGAGGGGCTTTCTCGTACATTTTACAAACTCCCAGCGTGTATTGGCCAGAGTGAGTAGCATACGTGTGCTAGTGATTCTGTAACCATTTTATCTCAGGACATTTTGATGCTTCTCACAAAATATCTCTTTAAATGGACTGGTACCCAGAAAGTCGCTCTACCCCCGGCGTGGCCGGGCTGCCACTGGCCCTGTGGCTCTGTCCCGGTGACTGCTGCGGAGGGAGGAGAACTTGGTCTGGAGGCAGAGGCCGGAGCCCTGTTGACATGAGTGTCCTTTGCTCTCCTCAGAGTGGCCAGGCGGATGCCCTGCAGAAGGAGGAACTCCAGGCTGCAGTGGACGCCAACAGCAGCGCCGCCCAGCAGTACCAGAGAAGTAAGCCCCCCGGCTGGGCTCCCGGGCTCCCGAGGAGGGGAGGGAAGTGGCTTCATGTCACTGGGGGTCTGAGGTCACCCTTTGCGCCACCCCAGCCTCCGTGCTGTGATCCACCACCAGGGGCCTC